GTGTGTGATTGTCTCGTGGCCTTCGCTGAGGCCAGCGGTGGTGCCAGCCCATTGGGGAGGGGGCCCTAAGCAGAAATAAATAGGGGCGCCACGGTGGCGATGTTAACTACCTTGCCTGGTATACAGGAGGGTTGTGAGTTTGATCCTGAACTTTGATGCCTGTTATATATTTCGAGTTTGCATGTTCTCCCCCGTGGTCACATGGATTTTTCTTACGAGTCCTCCGGTTTATCCCTGCACATTTGTAATTGACATGGGATTAGAGTATTTGCCTGTTGTGAATTTCCACGTGATAAGCCACTGCGTTGAGCTATCATTTGTGGCCAGGTCTCTTCTGAAAAAGAGATGTATAGCTAGGTGGGCCTTACCTGGTAAAATAAAATATCATTTTTGGGCGAGTATTTATTTCCACTTGTTTAACCCAGGAAAGGCTCAGCGAGTCTCAAGATTATTTTTTCCAGGAGGGTCGTGCCAGATTTTTACAGTCGGTAGGCGATGCTGCAGAGTGTGAACCCTATTGAGTGATTTTCAGGGATGATTTCAGCATAGGAATATTAGGCTGATACCAGTTACATTGTGTGTGCGCGCGTGTGTGTGTTTTAGCTTATGTCGTAGGCGCGCGTTACATAAGCCAAATTTGTCACGGTTGGGAATTTACGGTAGCGGCCAAGTAATCCACACCGCACATGGAGGGCAAAACCGGACGAACCTGGAGAACAATCGACATGACCACCACGAGGAGAGAATGTGTGGTCCAGGTGATGTGGAGAGGAGGGGCGTGTATGTGTGTCCGTTGAGCTCGCACGGTACGTCGCAAACCGTGCTCATCGGGAGGTGCGGGGGAGGGTGGAAGGACAACAAACTAAAACACTCCGTTTAACACGTAGGCTTTCACGACCAGTATTATTCATAATAAAGGGTTTTGGGTGAGATCTCGTTATTTATAAATGTGTCGCAGCCCTCCACCACCCGACACGGCCAATCCTAAAAAAATGTGTCACGTTGGCAAAAGACAAATAGTTCACTACTTTAGCCCACCGGTGCAAATCGCCCGAAGATGCTGGATGTAATTTCCAGCGAAACGTCGTACTCAAATTGTCAATGTTGTGGATTCACTCTTCAGCACACCGGTCTTTTGTCAACGTGACACTTTTTTTTAACCGATTGGCCGTGCTGGTTGGTGGAGGGTTACGACACATTTATAAATAATGCGATATAACCCAAAAACCTTTATTATAAACTAAACACTAAAAGCAATTAATAAAGTACGGCCGAGTAGTTGATTGGGGGGGGGGGGTCTGAGGTTAGGGGCCCACCCTGAATGATGGAGGCAAACACCCTTCCTGCCATCACCCCCCCCCCCACCACTCAGTTCCATATCTCCCGTCAGCGTGGGTTCTGGGTTCCCCACCTCGTGACCAGAGGACCTTTTTTCAAGGAACGAATGAATGACTCCGCTGTGTTCCGTGTGCTATTTACGCTTGTCATGAACATCCACAGCCCGTCACGTGATGTTGACAACATCGGCAAAAATGTCTCACAGTTGTTATGCCTGGCGTGGTCTTTTTTTTCGCGTTGTCTGTGGAATGTTTTGGCGGTTCTGCCCCCCTCCCACCGCTCCTTGCAATGGGAAAAACGCTCGTCGTTTTGAATCGCTGAATAGAAATGACACTTGAGCGTTGTCTTTATGGTTCTCCCCAACGCCCCCTCTCCTGATTTTTTAGTAGTTTTTTATTGGGCGGAAAGAGTTGTGGCTTTTGTAAATTTTTGTATACATCTGCTTATTGCGTGCAGTGGTGGGGGAAGAGAGTGGGGGGGGGGAAACATACGTAGATGATTTTATTTGGAGAACACCACACACAGTCATTGTGAAACGTTCGTGGTCGACATACAATTAAATCATTGTTGTCGGCCCTGATCTATCTGCTGCTAGACAAAGGGCCCCAAAGCCGTTGCCATTTTTTTCTTCTCGATGCTACTCTTGGTCCGGCTGATCTGGCCCCCCCACCCCCGCCGTTGTGGTTGGTGGGCGTCCGTCTCGGGCTTGCTCCTTCCCTCCCTCCGTGGCCCTGCTCTGTCCCTTTTTTTACCCCATCAGGTCAAACTCCAAAAGGCGTGCCTGGGTCCTGGTATTTGTGGTCCGTCATCCCAGTCCTCGCTCTCCGTGAATTTTTTTTTTTAGCAACCGGTCCAGATCGTCACCCTGGCTTTAGCAGCCACGAGCAGGAATCGAACCTCGGGCCACCGGGTTCGTAGCGGCAGTACGCTCGCCGCTAAAGCTATCGCTCACCACCACAAAACAAAGACAAACATCCCCCATATAGCCTTGAACAAACTTTTGGGGCAAGCACTGTTAGAGCGCCTAATGAAGGCTGGCGCAGCACACGAGGTGGGGGTGGCCCAACACCACTCCCGGGCCGCCTTTGTCTCCCCAGTGGTGGTGTTTCCACACTGCACCAGGTTACTCATTAAGGCCGAGTCGTCGGCCCAGGACCGGTTCAGATAATCATCACTGGTGGTGGCGGCCGTGAACGGGAATCAAACTACGGGCCGCCGGGTTCATAGCGTCAGCGCGCTAACCGCTAAAACTACCACTCCCCACCACCACAGTAGTCCTGTTACACTACGCATCCACTGCATTTGATCATACTCCACCACGCTGGTCATTGCGGATTTGGCGGGGGGCAGGGGAGTTGAGCAGAACAATTGATGGTGCTGAACTGCCCACATTGTAGCCTCTAACAACTGTGTGTTGTTCATGGAAGGGGTAGTGGATCACCCATCCGAGCAACTATCCAAGCTCAACTCCTGACGAAGGCTTGGCTTGCAGACAGGGGTGTGTGCAAGATGATGTCTCCAATATTCTTTATAATCTTGGTCCAAAAGTTCCACAAACGATGATCTGTTGGGGGGGGGGGGCATGTGCCCACGTTTAAAAAAAATGTCGTGACCTTGCTTGGCTTTCCCTACACTTTGCACTCCCTATCGTTTTTGTAGTGCACTTCACGTGGCATCAAAGGGCACCTGGCCTGGCACAGGTGCCGTGGTGAACGTCACCGTCGCTTGGTGGCGAATTGGCGGGTGCTGGTACTCGGTGGAGTTTGTATATTCTCTTCCTTTTCTGCTTGGGTTTCCGGCAAATTCTACAGTGGTCACAACGTAGGTCATGCCGTTTATTGCCGGCCGTTTGATGGAAGTGGATTCATGCGACGCACCTCCGACTCTTGCTGTGAAAAAAACGGGAAATAAACACTGCCCTTAGACTAAACACTGCACTTAGACTAACAATACCCGTAGACGCAACACTGCCCATAGACTTCCACACTACACCTGCTATTAGCATGCTTGGCTGCGTGTGGTGCGAAAAATTCTACATAGGTTGTGAGTTCAACCGAGTCGTACTCTTTGGAGGCAACACATTAACACCACCACACGGTAACTGCCCCTTAATAGAATAACAACCGATGGTGGTGATTACCAGACTACACTAATTACAACGTAACTAGCTACTACGGACCAGGACCACAGCTTGGGTCCAGGTCCATGTGTTGGAGACTTGGAAGACGTAGACGGGGGTTTCTTCAGGCTGAACAACAACGCCGGTCCCTCTGGGGGACCCGGCTTATATTCTCTGCGGCGTGGCTGGCTCCGCCCTTGGCCACGACCACCTTCCAGAACCCTCTAGCAGGATCTCGACCCGGACCACGTGACCACCCCCAGCCCCCCACTTGGGGCCACTCTGTAGACTTAATTGGTCACGTGTCCTCTTGGGTCAGCCAGAGTGCATGGCCTCCAGTAACCCATTCCCTAGGGTTGACATTGCTCGCCAAGCGTGATGCCATCCAGCGCTATCAATCAGCGCTGACCAAGCCCCTCTGGGGCCGGTACTGCACCCACATCCTAGTGTGTCCGCGATGTTAATACACCGCACGCCGTGCCTCTCTAGGGCCGGCATCACACTGACATCCTGCGATGTCACTACACATACATGAAAACCTCTTCAAATATACATAACTTGAGCAACTGTTTACAGCGAGGGCTCCCCCACCGCCCATGTAGTTCCTCCGCAATTGTGCGAGGTACTCATAACTTGGATGTCACCATACCTCGTGCCGGGAAAAAAAAGTAACACGTCACGACGATGAGACTGACTCCAGAAAGCGGTTGCTGGCTCTTAACCACCGGATCGGCTGTGATTCAGCGGGTTCAGCTCACTTGCGCTCTCGCAAGCCGTTCATTAATTTTCACGCTGGAGTTTGCCAAGCACGGTGACTGTTGTAGAGTGAATGTTTTGAAGCGCTCATCTGCGCTGCACGTAGGGAGGGCGGGGACATTTCCCGAAACGTTGCATAATTATACAATTTTCGCCGTTTTTTAAAGGAGTGTTATGTGACGTGTTATAATACTAATTATTATTGTTACTCCCATTTACTAAGGTATCGACTAAATATATCCACATTCTGAGACTTGATGAATTTCACATAGGTCGTCTATGATGACGGCCGAAATAATAAACAAAAAAATTCGGAATCGGTGAATGTCTGTACGCACGTTGAGCTTCTTTTGCACCGTCCGTAGGCGATCATACAAAATCGGAGGTGCGATTACTACTGTATACATATTTTTGTGTAGCATGCGCGCTCGCACGTGTGTGCCTCAGTGTATGCCTCGGTGTGTGCGTGCACGCACTACGGTGCATGCGCCCACACATGCAGCACTGCAAACCCGGCGACCGCAAGATCGATTCCTGCTCGCGGCCACAAACGATGACGATTATCTGAACCAGTCCTGGGCCTCTAATAGGTCCACTCATCCTAAAATTATTACCTGGTGCGGTGTCTTAAAACATTACCACTTGGGTGACCAAAGGCGGCTAGTGCGTGGTGCTGACCACCCACCTCCCTCTTGTGCCGTGCCGGCCTTCATAGGTGCCACTCGCTCATCGCACTTGCCCCAATAGTCTGTTAAAGGCTACGTGGTGGAATCCATTGTCTTAGCAGAACGATGCTGCGTGTGCTGTTGCTGCTGTGCGTGGCGTGTACTACACGTCTGGTGGCGGGGCGGTCCGTCCCCCTGCTCCCTCCGCTCTCTAAGTACATGGCCAACTACGTCAACACGCTGGGCACCACCTGGCAGGTGAGGAAGAGGGTACCGTGCTGCTGCTGCTCCGCCCTGTTCACACCGCTCGCGCGCGCTGCTCGCCGCTCGCGCTCACTGCTAGCACTCACCACTGACACTTGTCATACACCACTCACTGTACAGTGCTCGCACTCCCTGTACACCTCTCGCACACACCACTCGCACTCGCCATACAATTCCTGCACTTAGCCCTCCCACACACACACCTCTCGGTCAACGGACCTGTGGGGCCCCCTGCAATGCCGCTGTGCTCCGCGTCCCACCCGGCGCCGCCGCTGTTTGGTGCATCACCTCTGCAGCGGTAGCGCTCGTCGTGTTGAAACCCGCAAACCGCCGTCTGCGAGCCGAGCGCCCTAAGCGACGACGCTGCCTGGCTAGGGAGCGCAGTTCCTTTCCCCAGTATGTGTAGGTGCTCTTGAAGTGCTCGTGTAAATCTTTAAGCCGATTAAGCACTGGTAACATTCACATGCAGTATAATATAATGTTATATTGTTAATATAGCGGGCGGCATGTAAACAACACTAAACTAAAAATATATATTTTAGCTGTTGCGGCCCACTGAGCCTGTGTAGCTCTTTTTCAGACGCAACCTGGCCATCACAAATGATAACACAACGAAGTGGATCATCACGTGGAAATTTATAACAGCAGCTATCTACTCTAAGCGCCTGATGTTGATTGTAAATGTGGAGGGGAAAAATCGGAGCAGCCACACGTCCTCTTCCCTCCCTCTTGCGTTCAGCTTCTCCCGTCGTCTCACCACAAAATTATGCGCTCGATAAAAAAGCCCAACGGCATCTTGCATGGCGAGCGCTGAAATTGATAATGAACTGCGTCCAACAAAAACTAATCGTGACGGAATCGCCGGCGTGCCACATGTCGTGACCCTACACCCCCCACTCCACCCCCTCCCCTTCACACGTGTGTTTGGTTGGACGCAGGCGGGCCACGCGTTTAACGGCGCGTCTGTGGAGGATGTGCGCAGGTTGTGCGGCACTGTGCTGGGAGGGCCCAAGCTGCCGACACGGTCAGTGGAGTCCCCCCAACCCCCCACCTTTCCCTCTGCCGCAACTCACCGACCGTTCTCCTGGACACAGCGTGACCCCCAGCGGATGATAACGGCCCCACAAGCCCTCCGCTTGTCCTTCCGTTCCACTCGCGTTGTCGCGGCGTTTTTTTTTTTTAGAGGGAACTGATTTTTTTCTACAAATTTGGAAAGGGGTTTGAGTAACTTTGTTGTGCCCCTTTTATGCATGCCGCAGCCAAGGATGTCGTTCGAGGATAATGTTGACATGAGCAGCGGGGAGAAGGGAGGAGAGAAGGGTATTGGGTTGAGCCCACCTCAAGCCTATATAACCTCTTTCTCCTGCCTCAGCAGTTCTCCTGCTGTGTTGGTCTCGCCTGATCACGATTTCTTGTGTTGCGATCGAAACCTCGATCTATTAATTTCCTATCTACGTGACTACCGAAAGAACCAAAGAGTAAAGGAAAGGAGATGCGGGAGAAAAGGGCTCAGGTGAGGTGAGGAGAGGGAGGAAGGAAGAGGCTGGCATCGCAGATTCGACGACGCCACTGCTGCTGCACGGAGGAGGAGCGGCGTCTGTTTTCACAGCGGGCAGAGGGGTTCGGAGTGGGGGGGCGGCCTGTACAGAAGTCGCGTGGATTTTACGGACTCAAAATTTTTATTTGTCCAGGAAAAATCCGATGAGCCACGAAGCTGGTGTAGAGAGACCATAATGCAGGCGCTTTTTATGGTTCAATCGCGTAAATATACAATGTGTCATTAAACCCGCCACTATCCGACACAGGCAATTGGTAAGGGTTTGTCACGTAAATAAAACGTGGCCAATTTGTTCCGAGTGTAATGGGTTCAATCGAGGCGCACACTTGGACTTGGAGGCGACACTGTTTATTAACCAACATCACATGACCGACGACCGAACTGAATTTTCATACCACTGCGGTCTATTGGTCTGGATCGCATCACCGGCCCCCGCCAGGCCTTGTACAATTTGGGGGACGTACCAAATGGAACTTGAGGGCGATGCAGCCAAGCCTTGTCGCCTGGCGACCAAAGCTTACCATAAGGCGAAGCCCCTCTCAACCGCGCATTGGCTGACTGCCGTAAGGGCAAATTTTCCTTCGAGGCCTCCTTTGCCTCAGACACTCGTTGAAGAGTAAAGCGCGTTGGCGCAGGCATGCTACTGCTGACCTTGCCTGGTCCCAAGTGTAGTTGGACGTCAATAGGGGGGTCCTGCTCCCTCCCATACATAAAAAAACGGTGAGTATCCCGTGGACACGTGAGGGGCCATTCTGTAGGCCGCGAGGACCCCGGGGATGTGCAAGTCCCAGTCCGTTTGGGACTCAGAAACCTGTTGACTCAACATGGAAGTAAGGGTCCTATCCAGGCGTTCTACCATCCCGTCAGTCTGGGGATGATAGGGCGATGTCCGTACTTGCTTCATACCCAACAAGTCGCACACCTCTTTCAATAATTTGTAGGATAAATGTTTGCCTTCATCAGTGAGGAGGCGCTTTGGAGCCCCCTTGTCCAACACGTACCCGTGAAGGAACGCCTCGGCAATAACCGCCGCCAACTGATTGGGGAGTGGCCAGGCCATGGGCCAGCGGGAAAAATACTCAACGCCAACCAATAAGTATAGTCGGAAAGGGCCCCAGAACGTCCAGTGCGACCAGTTCGTTTATGAGGGGTACTTGAATGGATTTCAAATGGGGACAGCCCAATTTAGGTAGGGGTTTGCGACGGCGCGCATTGCACACACCCTTTGAGCACTTTGGCAACGTCCCCTGCCATCCCGGGCCAAAAAAAATGTAGTTGAGGGTTGCGAGCATCTTATGTACCCCGAGGTGCAGCAGTCGCTCATGCATGGCCCAGATGATTCTGCCGCACATGGCAGTGGGTACTACAATAGCGTAATGGCGCAACCTGCCGTCCCAGTACATCAACAATCCCTCCTTAAGGATGACAGGGGCAACCACCCGTTGGTTCGTCCCTACCCCAGTGTCCCGAACACGCCTCCGCAGTTTTAATAAGAAGGCGTCCTCTACCTGCAGGCGCCCCTATTCTGCGTGGTCTAGACCAAGTGTGGTATCGCACCTTTTAGGACCCCCTGGAATGTCAGGGCCCACACCCCCCGCGGATGCGACAGCCGTCGGAGATACAGCCTCGACTTCGGCTTACTGCGCCCCGAGCCGGAAAGTCATGCGTACTCATCGCGTGGTGGTAACCGCGAAGCGCGTCCGCATTCGTATGGCGCAAACCCATTTGATACGAAATCTCCGAGGCTCACATTAATGTGGAATTCTGCAATTCTGTGCAAGCCATCAAATATGTTTGCAAATACATCAACAACGGCTCTGACATGCCTGTCTTAGCCTTACAAAAAGAAGGGCAAAGTGTGGATGAGGTTAAACTTTTTGTCCAAGGAAGATACATCAGTAGCCATGAGGCCATTTGGATAATTCTTGGCTCCCCCATTCCCCCACAGTCGTCCATTTGGCAGTTCAACTCGAAAATGGTCAACGCATATACTTCACCAAAGGAAATGACCAACAACAGGTCCTGGCTCCACAAGATACCACCCTGATGGTGTTCTTTGTTTTGTGCCAAAGTTACCCATTTGCTGCCAACCTGCTCTTAAAGTTAAAATGTGTGTAAGTCGATGTCTGTGTGTGTCAGTCCATGTGTGTGTGTGCGGGTAAGTCTGTGTCTTTTTTTGGCCTGGCACAAGCGTAGTGGTGACGTCACCGCCACTTAGTGGCGGATGGCGGTTGTCTTTTTTGCCCTGGCGACGCCAGGTACTTCCCGCTAGTAGGTTTCTATGTACGTCAGTTTAGCGAAAGAAGCAAGAAATATAAATATTAGTTGTCTGCACTCCAAATTATTAATGTAATATTTGCAAGGTGATTATTTAAATAATATTTTCCTATCAATGTGAGTTTAGCGAAAGCAATAAAATTGTACTTAACATGGCCGTTGAGGCCTAGCCCCGTGCAGAGCCCCCGGCCTCACCTAGATTGCCCAGCCCACTGAGGTGGCACCTTGGCAGGCTGGGGCTGGGCTGCTAACCCCCCCCCCCCCAGCCACGATCCCCCCGCCTGCTCTGCAGTAATATCTACGGCCTATAGTGGTAACATTTACGAACTTTATAGTAGTAACTGCAAGCATCGTTTTGCGTATTTTATTGCATTTTTAACACTCAAGAAAATGTCCCCCTCACCCCCATGCGTGTGACTTGGTAAGGGCCGTCCCCCCACCGAAGGCATGCGAGTTGGTATGGTCGAGCGCGTGTAATAAATAACGATAAATCTCACTAAATCGCTAATTGAACTACTTTAAAGTTGAGGGATGGGAAAAAGGAATACCGCTTGCTCACCACGGGGCTTACGGCATGGTACCTGGCTATTTTTTAATAACTTAAACCCCACCATTTGAGAGCCAAATCCTTCGCAAGTGTGCGAGCACACAGACAGTAGGGTAAGAACGTTACAACAAAAACAAATGGTACAAAAACATGATTGGAGTGCAAAGTACAAGAAAGGTAAACAAATCACAACCGACCTCATCAGGCCACAGACAGAATTGTGGATACATCCTCCTGTTTATGCGATCGAACCCAATAACCTCATTATGCATAGTATTCGGTCGTGAAAGCCCCCTACTACTACGTGTTAGAGAGAGAGAGAGACTCGTGGTGCACGGAGGTCCGCGTGACCTTCTCGGCCGTTAACCTTGGTGTGCTGGTCCGGAACGGTTGTGAAGTTAAATCAAGTTCAGGATCTTTGTTTAACCGGGCCAGCGGTCATCCTCATCTGCAATAGCGAGCTGGAGTCACCACCGCCGCACGAGGGAGCAGACTCATATTAGCTGTGTGTGGCCATCGCTACGACCTCGGGATGAGGAGGGATGGAGAGGGATGGAGGAGGGATGGAGGAGGGATGGAGGGATGGAGGAGGAGGAGGGATGGAGGAGGGATGGAGGAGGGATGGAGAGGGATGGAGGAGGGATGGAGGAGGGATGGAGGAGGGATGGAGGAGGGATGGAGGAGGGATGGAGGAGGGATGGAGGAGGACCTGTTCTCCTGGGCAGCTGTTGACGCAGTTCACCTGCTGGAGGAATCTGATGGTGGCCACTCTGAATTTTTGCTTTTTTTTTGGTGGTGAACAGCACTTGTTGTGTTATGTGCGTGTGATTGAAATTTGCGTGCAATTGTGTGTGTGTGTGCGGTGAGGTGCGGAAAGCTGTAAGCTCTCCTTCCCATCAACCAGAGGCGGAGTGGTGGTCGTGGTTACTTATGCCCCCACTGAAGACGAACATCCGTGGAGGGATGCAGGCAAGGCCGATGAGTCGGATGCCTTCTATGACCTGTCACAGGTGCTGGCTAAAGTGGCCCCTCGGAACAGAGTCATCTTTTTGGGTGACTTCAATGCCCGAGTTGGTCATGATGCTGGCACCTGGTGTGGCGTGATTGGAAGGCATGGGCCAGATCAGCTCAATAACAACGGTAGAAGGCTGCTAGACTTTTGTGCAGCCCATGGGCTTTTAATTACCAACACACTGTTCCGGCATCGGCACATCCACACAACATCATGGATGCATGCTGGGTCCAAGCAAGAGCATCTGCTGGACTATATAGTGACGGAACAGCGGATGCGGGCCCATGTCCTTGACACCAGGACCTACCGTGGAGCTGATCTGCCCACTGACCATCGACTTGTCATTTGTAAGATGCGCCTGCCATTCTTGCACTCCAGTGGTGGGTGTACACCCAGGACCCCATTCAAACCCGTAGTGGCCTGGTCTCAGCTAACTGATGAAAGTTGCAATCAATAATTTCATCATCGCTTGCAGCTGATGTGGAGGGGAAATGGCCGAGGTTTAGGACTGTGGCTCATGCAGCTGTAATGGCTGCTTTGGGTACACGGCCCAGACCTCCCCAGAGACCCTGGCTGACAGAGGTGTGCTGGCTGATAAAAAGCGACAGGCCCACTCTCATCGTCTACAGCATCCCACATCAGAGAATGAGGAGGCTTACCGCAGCCTTAGCTCGGAGGTTCGGAGAGCTGTGAGGCGCTGCAAGGATGGGTGGTGATCGCGGGTTGCTGAGGCGATGGAGTCTGCCTCAATGGCCCGCGATCACAATTCACTTTAATGCCATCAAAAAAGTAACTTGCAGTGCCACCCCGATCACCATCATTAGGGGAAAGAACGGTGATCCAATCTCCGACCCCCAGGAACAGGTTTGCTGAGCATTTCTGAGGTCTTCGGGGAGGGGAAATTCCTCGGCCTGGGGCAAAGTGGGGATGACCCTCCTGAGGTTGCAGTGCCTCAAATATTGGAAGAGGTAGTCACCCCCTGCGAGTGGCTGACTGAGGTGCCATTTGTTAAGGAAGTACTGAAGGCGATCCAGAGTCTGAGACCAGGAAAGGCACTGGGCAGAGATGATCTCTCAAGCGAAATGCTGAGGATGGCATTTGTGCACAGACTGCCCTACATGACAATCATAAAAACAATCTGAACCACTGGATGGGTTTCACAGGATTGGAAGGATGCCCTGGTGGGTCCCCCTCTTTAAGAAGGGGGCCCGCACAGACTGTTACAACTACAGGGGCATCTCATTCCTCCAGTGTGCCGAGAAAAGTCCTGGCAAGGATTATTCAACATCGCCTTGCCAGGCACGCTGAGGAGAGGCTCGTGGAGCCCCAATGCGATTTCAGGAAAGGGCAGTCCTGTCCGTCTGCTACAGCAGAGGTATAGAGAATTCCAACAAGACCTACATCTCTGCTTTATTTACCTAGTCAAGGCCTATGATATCATCAGTAGGCCTGGACTCTGGGGTGTTCTTCGTGCTTTCGGAGTCCCTGACTCTCTGCTCACGATCTTTGAAGGACCTTCATTATGGTGAGCAGGCCCGGGTAAAACTACGTGCCTAGGATTTGGAGCTTTTCCCTGTTCACCTTGGGGTGTGACAGGGATGTCCTCTGGTTCCCACATTATTTGACATCTATTTAGATCGCGTAGTTCGTGAAGCCTTAGATGGCTGTACCGGAACAATTTTCATCTGGTACAGGTACAATGGGAGGCTGATCGATGCCCGGGTGCGGTCAAGGGATGGCTCCCTATTGGTCAACCATGTTATGTATGCCGATGATCTGATAATTACGGCTCACTCGGAGGAGTTGCAGGTGCTGCTGCTGAACCTGGAACGTGTCACCTAAGAGGTGTGGGGCCTTTCCATCAGCCCCACAAAAACTATGCACCTGCCTGGGTATTTTGTACCATCGGACACTCCACCCCCACAACTCCCAATTGGTGATGGGGCAGTTGTGGAGAGTTTCCCATACCTGGGCAGTGTGCTCATGACCGGCTCCGGTTTGACAGCAGAGGTCTCACTCCGAATCAGTCGAGCGGCATTATCTTTTCATCGGTTACGTAACGCTGTGTGGAAGCTACCTGGTCTGACGCTCCGCACTAAGCTTCAGGTCTTCTCGGCCACAGTCATGCCCTCCCTTCGCTATGCTTGCGAACCGTGAACCCCCCTAATGGAACATCTTCGCCGGTTAGAAACATTTAGGCTGGCCTGCCTACGATCCATCCTGGGTTTAACAAGGCTGGATTGTGTGAGGAGCTCACAAATCCTTGAAAGATCTGGACAGTCTCATCGGTGAGCTCCTTCGCCAGGCAAGGCTGCGTTGGCTGGGTCATGTAGCCCGCATGCCCAGCCACCGCATGCCTAAACAGATTTTGTTCGGCCAGATAGAGGGCTAAACCGGCGCGGCACGGGCTAGAGAAGAGATGGAGTGATGTGGTATGGGAAGACGTGGAGCCGAGTGGACTGGCCGATGACTGGTACCAGTGGTGTCATGATCGGCCTCTGTGGAAGAGGCTCGTGAAGGATGCTACCTGGGTCTGCCCTGTGATTTGCTGCCAGCGGGCGTTCGACACTTCACGTGGCCTCAACGTGCGCACAGCCTGGGACAAGAGCCATGGTGACGTCACCGCCACTTAGTGGCGAATGGCGGTGGTTATCACCGTGGTTGAGTGACCTTTAGTCAGTCAACCCATGGCATTTGGGTCTGTCCCATGACCTCTTGCCAGCGGGCGTTCGACACTTAACGTGGCCTCAAAGTGGAGACAGCCTGGCACAAGCGCCATGGTGATGGTACTGCCACTCGGTTGTTGTGACATCACCACTGCTACAAGCTATTGTGTCATGTGTGTGCTTAAGAGAGCACGTGTGTAATGGTGTGTGTACGTGTCTGTAGTGGAGCGGTCGGCACGCTGTGCTACGAACCCGACGACCAGAGTTCGATTCCCACTCACGGCCACCAACACCAGTGACGATTATCTTTTATCGGTTCTGCGCCTCCTCTAGGTTGGCTCGACCTCAAATGAGTAACCTGGTCTGGTGTGTAAACATTGCCACTTGGGAGATAAAGGCAGTCGGGCGTGGTGTTGGTCACCTACCCCCTCGTGTGCAGTGTCGGCCTTCATAGGCGCTCGCCTTCAGCGCTTGCTCCAAAAGTCTGTTAAGGCTACACGGGTAGGGTGTAACGCGTGTGGTTGTGGTGCGCTTGTTTGTCACGCGTGTTATTGTGTTGTGTGTGCAGCACACACAAGGTGTCCCAGAGCTTGCCCGACAGCTTCGACGCACGCACGCAGTGGCCCAACTGCCCGACCATCGGGGAGCTGCGCGACCAAGGCTCCTGCGGCTCCTGCTGGGTAAGCATGCGCACGCACGGACACGCATACCAACACGCGCACACTCACGTGTGTGTGCACACACGCATGCACACACACATGCATATACGGGACAAAGATGTGCCGTATAGCCTTAATAGACTGTTGGGGCAAGTGCTGATAGCGAGCAGCACCTATGAAGGCCGGCACGGCACACGACGGGCTCGGTGACCAGCACCATGCCCGGCCACCTTCGTCTCCCAAGTGGCGAGTTCACATCTCGCCACCGTAGCGCCCAGTTTTTGGTGGCGACTCGCCGTGTGGCTGCTGCCTCCCTCGCTCGTCTGTGTTTTCTCCTCCACCTTGTGCCTCCGGGTCGTTCTCTCTCTCTACGAGAGTGAGTGAGCGAATACTGCGAAGCGGTGTCGCGGTGTTGCAAGTTGACGTTTTTATTATCGTCATTTTAATGATACTCTTGTGCAGCTTGCATGCTGGACCTCCTCACCGTTGACACGTGGTGTGTTCACGCTCGTTACCTCTCCCCGTGTGTCTGCATGCATGCGTCTCCCCCCCCCCTCCCCGTGCAGGCATTTGGCGCCGTGGAAGCCATGTCCGACCGCTTCTGCATCCACTCGAAGGGCCAGGTGAACCCCACGTGTCGGCCGAGGACCTGCTCTCCTGCTGCGATGAGTGCGGCATGGGCTGCGATGGCGGCTACCCCTCCCAGGCCTGGAACTTCTGGACCAGCACCGGCCTGGTCACCGGCGGCCAGTACAGCAGGTGGACAGGGTACCTGCCCCTTGCTTGCCCCCCTTGGCTTTGTCTTCCATGGCCTGCCCTGATGTGGCCTTGCCTGCCCTGCCCTGCCTTGGCCTGCTCTAACCTGGCTTGATCTAACATTACTTGGTCTCCCCTGATTTTGCCTGACCTCACTTCCATTCCCTTGAGTTGATAAAATATGATACGTTCCTACGGCTGCTGTGTGTGACCGTGTGTGGTGTGACGATGGTGTGCTTGCCAGTGTTGCGATGCTGCGTCCTGGTGTGTGCGTGTGTTTTCGGCGAGTGTGACTTGTGCGGGGCGAGTAGCGTGTGGCGATGTGCGTGTGTGTATGACGCGGCTCGCGGTGTGACTACGCTCGCGTGACGCTGCTCGTGTGTGACGCTGCAGGGTGCCGCCCCTACTCCATCAAGCCGTGTGAGCACCATGTGAATGGCTCGCGCCCGCCGTGCAGTGGGGAGGGCCCCACGCCCAAGTGCGTGCACGAGTGTGTGGGGATACACGCCGCACTACAAGGCCGACAAGTACTTGGTATGCGGACAAACCTGCACGACACATTTGCATGCCTGCGTGCAAACATCTCTACAAAGACAAAAACCCCCGCCTATAGACTGAACAGTCTTTTTGGGGGGGATGTTAACTACCTCACCTGATTTACAGGAGGTCGTGGGGTCGTGGGTTTGTTCCCGACACTGACACCTGCTGTATATTTTGAGTTTGCGTGTTTCTCACTCCCCATGGTAGCATGGATTTTTCTCTGGGTCCTCCAGTTTTTCCCTCCACATTTAGAATCAACATCACACGTTTAAGAGTATTTGGCTGTTACGTAGCTGTCAATCCATACGGTTTACCTGTACTCTTGTACAAGGAAATAGTTTTTCAGGTCTATACGACGTACAGCCGTTTCAATACGGGCAAACTTTTTTCGTCTATTTGTGTGGCCAACGAGGTCTGAACTACTGGCCTGTAATAATGTAGGCACTGATAAGGGGTTGGCAGGTCATTTGTGGCCAGGGCGCTTCTGAAAAAGATCTACATAGTTCAGTGGGCCTAACCTGGTAAAATAAAAAGTTTATAGTTTGGTTTATAGTTAACGAGCACCTCCATGAAGGCTGGAACCGCCCACACGCCGGCCGCCTTCACGCGCACGCCGACACATGCGCGGCCATGACTGCTCGCGCACGCGAACGTGCACACACATCTCCATGCACACATCTACGCACGTAAATATCTACGCGCACGCTTGTGTGCAGCGCGGGGGGTCCACGTTCGATTCTGTTGGGACCTAAACACCGGTGATGAATATCCACACCGGTCCTGGGCCTCCTCCCCGAGGTCGACCCTGGCATCTTTAAACGAGTGCTCCGGTGAGGCGTGCGCCACAAGCATCGCCACCGGGAGAGAAGAAGGCGGCCAGGCATGGTACTGACCCCCCCTCACCCCATCGTAGGAAGCGCTACTCGCTTAAACGGCACTTGCCGCACCAGTATGTTCAGGCTACACGGGATCTTTGTCTTTTTTGGTGATGATAGTGGCGGTGGTGGTTGTGATGTTGAAGGGCATGGGCTGGACGTTTGTCGTTGGTGGTGAGCGTTGCTCTCGGCCGTCTCCTGAGACTCGGTGTCATCACTCACATGGCCACCACTCAATGGTGATGTTATATGAATAATGAATAACATCACCATTGCTTACATCTCCAACTCTTCCCCACCTTTGTGTGTGGTGTGTGTATGTGGTGTGTTCGCGTGCGTGTGATGCACCCGCCCGCAGGTAAGAAGGCGTATAACATCGATTCCGACGAGAGTCAGATCAAGCAGGAGATCTTCGACAACGGCCCCGTGGAGGCCGCCTTTACCGTCTACGCCGACTTCCCACAGTACAAGTCCGGTGAGTTCTGATAGGGAAGACTTTGTTATGTTTAGACCAGATAGAGGAATAAAATGAGCTCTGAAGCTGTTTGGTTTTTCTTTGTTGTGTTTTCCTTAATTAATATTCTTTGGGTCTTTCGGTAAAGTCACATAGATAGGTTCCTTGTTTTTTCCTTTTTTTTTCAAACAATACAATAACAAAAACGATAGCGGTACGAAATAGGGATTACATATATACATCAAGGAGAGAAGTACAAATTGCACGAGTTACTTACATGGCTGCAGGTTTGTGACGACCGAGTGCAAGATGACGATGAGGGAGGGAGGAACGTTGAAAAGGCCAAGCCACAAAAAAATGTGATCATCTTTGTCCGACGTTTCACCGGAGACGTACACCCAGCATCTTCGGGCGTTTGCGTGGCACTCTCGGCTCGACACTTGACGATGCTGGATGCCACCTTCCAGCGGAATGGTCGCGATAAAATTTGTTTTCCTCGCCGTTCAACCATTCTCCCGCCTCTGGTTTTGCCAAGCGACCAAATCGAATTGGCACGTTTGCTACGTATGTGTCGGACTTCTTTCGCACCATACGTAGCCCCAGCCGTGCTAATCAGAGGTGAGGGGGGAAGAACAAACTAAACACAACAAGCAATTCTAAAGAAATTAGCTTGTAAATATCGATGATTTAAAAATGGATAGCTCCAGTGTCTTCCGAATATTGGAAGAGTGTTCCAGATGGCCGCAGACGTGCATCTTGAAAGCGCCGCGCGATGATGCGGTAACCACCATATTTGTTAAATGATTCGCAGCCAAAAGCCGCTTCTGCGAGGATGACCACCGGAGTTGATTTATGCACCACGACATGACGACTTAATTCGATTTGCTGCCGTCTCTGGGCCGGTGAGGGGGGGGTGGAGTGATCGTTAGAGGAATCCCTGCCTTGTCCTCGGATCCATCGTCCCAGAGGAGCCCTGGCTCTCCCAAGTGTCCCCAGCTCTCACCTGTAGCAAGGGGCACTGAACACGTGGTTGCGGTGGCAGCACAGTAGGCACTGTCCCTAGGGCCTTAGAAAAAAACGATTTTACTGTTTTTATTGTATGATAAACAAAAAATGTAACAAGATATCCTCTTGAATAAATTTATATATATATCAAGGATAGGTACCGTTTTCATACAAAGAGACAGTCGTGTCAGTCGTTTTTTATAACGTAAGAGAAATGAAACAGGAGATGAACTTATCGAGATTTTTGTTCATTGCAAAATTAGCAAAGTGGCATATTTTCATGGTGTTGTTTTTCACACATCTAATTCTCAATATAGAGCAGCAGTGCAATAGAAGGACAAGGAGGCGTTGCTGTCCTATGGTTGATCGGAGACGTTTTTTTTTTTAAATCGGCTTTAGTGAGTGACAGCGGCGGCAGTAGTGACATGGGGCAGCGGTGCCAAAACCGTAGAAAGTTATCACTGAGAGCCTACAAAACAGAAGTGCATAGGGCCTACAAGAACCAGAAGTACCTGAGGCCTACAAGAATCTTAATCCGGCCCTGCCTATCCGCCTGCCCAACACCCCCTGCCCCCCCAATGGACATCTGTGAAAGAGCTTCGTAGCTCATCGGATTTCTCAAGGCTGATAAATTAAGATACTGTATTCCAAGTTCGAAACCCTTCTCCACGGCCACCACGACACCAGTGACGGCTATCTGAACCGGTCCTGAGCCCCTCCCCTAGATTGACTCGGCCTCAAATGAGTACCTGGTGCAGTGTGTAAGCATCGCTACCGGGGAGACAAAGGTGGCCGGCCGGGCGTGGTGCTGGATAGCCCCCTCCTGCGTGTACCATGCCAGCCTTCATAGGGGCTGCTCGCTAACAGCACTTGCCCCAACAGTCTAATATATTAAAGGCTACGGGGGATCTTTTTATTTTATATGCTGTGGGATTTGACGCACGGTGGTGGTCTGCAGGGGGGCTGTTGAGACGTGGTGATGTGTAAGCGGTCTACACACATTGGTGACTACCTGTAGGATTTGGTGGTGTTATTATTATGTAGGGATTGACACAGTGGTGATAGTGTTGTGGTATTGGTTACATAGGAGTTAACACAGTGGTGTGTAGGGGTTAACTCTGTTGGTTGTGTAGGAATTGAATAGTGCAGGTGATGGTTGTGGTGGTGTGGTGGTGCTGCAGGAGTGTACCAACACGTGGCGGGCGAGGAGCTGGGGGCCACGCCA